GCCCAACCACTTCATTAGCTCTGGAGCTACTTGTACTTGTCCTCCGCTCTTCCTCAGTAGCATGTTGGACACTTTCCGACTTGAGGGGCTCATCTTCCAGTGTCATATATTTTAGCCTTTTGTTTCTGATCATGGGGTTTTCTGGGCACAGATACTGGAGTGGCTTGCCAGTTCTTGCTCCAGGTGGATTGTGTTTAGTCAGAACTCTCCACTATGACCTGTCCGTCTTGGGTGGCCCCGCAAGGCATAGCCCATAGCTTCTCTGAATTACTCAGTCCCCTCTGACATGACAAGGCAGCAATCCGAGAAGGGGCAGAGGATGTGTATATTATGAAATAAGTACATGTTAAACATTAAATTGATCATTCTGTTGACCAATATGGTCATTACCACACCGGGGGGGGTGCATACTGATTAACAGAGCTACTTACAGTAGGCCTTACTATTTAAATGCGGCAGAGAAGGATCTCTTCTCTCTGGATCTCGGATCCAACCCTACCCACAGCATTGTGGGGTGGGGCTGAAACAGGTGAAAGGCTCCCTGTCCCCAGCTACCCAGACCCCTGCTTCATGCTAGGGAGATGTGGGTCAACTGTGCTCCCCCTCCCCACCCAAGATCACATTAATCCAAAAGGCTGAAGCCTTCAATGTCTTTTGCTGAGTCACCCACCCCAGGGCTCCAATGGTGCTGGAGGGGCCGGAAAATACTTGAAAGCCGAGGGACTCCGCCAGGGGTTAACACAGCCCTGTCCTCCACCCGGCCCCTTTTTCCTACCGATCTCACGGGTCGCGTCCAGCCTCAGCGCCCGTCCCTTGCAGCCGCTGGCTCTCAGGACCCGGACCGTCACCTCCAGGGCACAATCCTCCCCGTAGTATTGGAGCAGGAGATCGGCTATACTACAAGCATCATCCGCTTTCTTCAGCAGCCCCCACGGGATGTGACGGCTCAGGTGGTAGGTTTCCGAGACGACGAACATCAGGAGCATCTCCTTGAACTTCTTGAACTCGTCCTCCGTCAAGTCCTGCAGGGCTGCCAGCAGGCGACCGGGGACCGTCTTCTCCATCTCGCCCCGCTTGCAGCTCCGCTCGCTGCCTTAACGGAGGGAGAACGCCTGGCCGGGGAAAGGCGCGAAGACGGAGCCTCTAGCCTGCCTTCCGCCTCAGGGAAAAAGGATGCGGGGCGGCAGGAAGGGACGAAGGGGAGGCCAGGAGACCCGCTGCACCCGGAGAGCCGCAGCGGCGCCGCCTCCACTCCCTGGTCGCAGAAACGGGAGCGTGTTTTCTTTCGGTTTCGTTTTTCTCCAGAAAGGGCGACGGACGGGCCGGCGGGCTGGCTGGCAGGGAGAGGCTTCGGCCCCGAAATGTCCGCCCCTGTGCCTCTATTGACACCACCGAGCTGTCCAACTCGTTCAAAAGACAAATCCTTGAATCCTGTCCAAGTGTGCCTTTTGCTCTGTGAGGAAAATGGGGGCTCTTCCCAACCTAGAATCATGACGCTGGAAAGGGCTGCCGCCTAAGCCCCCCTGGCTCGAGGCAGGAATACCAACCAAGGGTTATCTGCTAACTGGTTGTCTAACTTTCTCTTGAAGGCGCCCAGCGTTGGAGCACCCGCCACCCCTCCGGGTCATGGGTTCCCTTGTCCTACTGCTCTAACAGTTAGGAAGTTTTTCCTGATATTCCACCAAAATCTGGCTTTTTCTGGCTTGAGCCCAGCGTTGGGTGTCTTGCGCTCTGGGATGATCGAGAAGAGATCCTGCCCCTCCTCAAGTATTTGAAAAGTGCTGTCATCTCTGGGGGGTTTCAGGAACAAACTTAAAACCTGGCTGTTTGGGCAGGCTTTCCCTCCTGCCATACCTTAATTTTCTATACTTTCAACACCTTGGATTTATAATACAGGTATATGCTTACTGGTCGTATTGTTTTTAATTTGTAAACTGCCCAGAGTAGACCTTTGGTCTAGCACTCTAGATGAGCAGGATAGAAATCCAATCAATCAATCAATCAATCAATCAATCAATCAATCAATCAATCAATCAATCAATCAATCAATCAATCAATCAATCAATCAATCAGTCAGTCAGTCAATCAATCAGTCAGTCAATCAAATGCTCATTAAATAATCAGGTGTAATATATTTTTAAAAAGTAATGATGTTTTTATATTAAGTCTGCCTTGATCCCACCTCATCACTTAAATAAAATAAAATATCTTTTTTTCCTAGATGGCAAAAGTGTTTCTAGAGTATCAGATTTTATATCACTTTTCTTGTGAGTCTTCACAATAGTGCAAAGAAAAAATATATGCTTTGAATCTTGTAATCTGGGAACCAAGAGTAACTACAACTCCCTCATGAAACTCAATTCCTTTTGTCTCAATTGTTATTTTACTCTAAATATAACACCCATTTGGGATGACTCTTCAAACGAAGGCAGATACATGTCCTCTCACACATGCATAAACATTTGCACCTATATGCCCACAAACACATAGTGATCATCCTTCCTGGCTCACTAGGAAAGTGTTCTTTTTGCTCCATTCCCCAGGATTTTTGGAGAATCAGGAGAGAAATAAACACACACACATGCCTGCATATTACCCACACCCAGTAATCTTGAATCAAATAGTTCTTTCTTTGCTGCTAGGATAAAGTTCTTGTGGTTATGTGCTGTTAAGTCATGTGTGGCTTATGGTGACCCCATGAATGAGCAACTTCCAGAATATCTTGCCCTCAAGAGACATGCTCTGCAAACTGAAGGCTGTGGAAGATTCCTTGATGGAGGATCCATCAACCCATCTCATATTTGGTCTTCTTCTTTTCCTGCTGCCTTCCATCTTTCCAAGCATTATTGTCTTTCCCAGAGAATCCTGTCTTCTCATGATGTGCCCAAAGTAGTCTCAGTTTCAATATCCTTGCCTCCAGATATAGTTCAGATTTGATTTGATAAATGGCCCACTTGTTCATCTTTCTGACAAAGCTCTCCTCCAGGACCAATTTCAAACAAATCAGGATGGGTTTTCCCCCCAATCAGCTTTCTCAACTGTTCTGCTTTTACATTCATGCATGGTGATCTGGAATACAATAGTGCAGATGATCTTGATCTCCAGTGACACATCCTTACACTTCATGGTCTTTCCTAGTTCATTGCTGACCTTCCAAGCCTTAGCCTTCTTGAATGAATAGAGAAGATGCAAACTGATTGAATTTAGCACAGCTAGGTGGGAGAAAGAATTCACGAAGGGGTGGTCATGGGGGTTGTACATAAGGTCTTAGGGTACAGCAGGCTCTTGTTGTTCTTTGTATTTACCATTCCATTGTGCTTAGAGCACTCTTTGGCAGTTTAAATCATCATTATGCAAACAACCATTCCACCCACTCCCCGAGCTGTGTACTCATTTTAACGACCTTGGAATGATGGAAGACTGAGTCAATCTTCACCCAATTCCCTAAATCTGTTGAGATTAAACTCAGGCCATGACCAGAGGCTTGACTGCAGTACAAGTTGTACATCCTTCTGAAGAAGAACTTGAACATACACTGAAGTGCCCTTTTCCTGAGTGGACAAATAGGTCATGCTTAGTCCATCTCACTGCACACACAACTCAGGGCACATCCAGAAAGACATTTGCCCCAATATTTTGGTGAGCTGCAGGGGAGATTTTGTCCACTTTTTTCCCTAGCAACCAAACAATGTAATTGCTGGAGTGGATCAATTTGCTCCCCTGCACTTTTTCGGGCTGCTGTCAGAGGGTTCTACTTTTTTTTATGTGGGTAGGTGTGATAGGAGGGAGTAATGATACTGTGTTTTAACAGAGTTATTACTGTATCAATAAAGTTGAGAATCTCTCTTATGTACTAACATCTTGTTCACAATGTAACTGTAACAATATTGTATCGCCACTGTATCTATACCACAAATGCTCCAATTATATTTTATGTATTCTATTTTAAGAATTGTACTTTAGATTTCCTTGCTATTTCTTATGAGTTCCAAACGGTCACCTAGCCCACATTTATTCTATCCCAACCCAGACTCTGGAACAACAAAGACCATTCAGGCCTACAGAGATGGCCATACCTGATAGAGTGTTTATGACCCATCCATGGGCCATCTAAATAAACAATGAGACCTTTTATCCTACACCAGGAGTTGACATTTAGGTAAAGTATGACCAGATGACCAGGCCATTAGAATGCAAAGGGCAAGAAGGGCAGAGATAATACTCTTGAATTACCGTCTTTGAAGGGCAGGACAGAGAACTGGGGAAGAAACATTACCAACATACATAAACATATCAATAAGAAAACAGAAAAATTACCACTACACACAGTTTGCATGGGCTATTCTGGAGATGAGGTCAGGGCAGAAAATGCCTACAACTCTAGCCAATGGGTCAACTACAGAAACACCTGAAGTCCAATCAGGGCTGAGATCCAAAATTTGGGGCACAGATGACCAATAGCAATGTAGTACTCTTATGGCTCTTTGTCTGTAACCATAATATTCATTCACCCTTTGTTCTGGGTCTCTCTCTGCTTTTAAGAGAAGACCCGGCTGACCATTTCTTTGCTGCTACTCAAATAAAATTGGGTCTTTGGTTCAGCTGCCTTGCGTCTTAGCCTGTTGTCCTTGCTGGAAACCTGAGCCCAGAATTGGCCTGTAACAGGTGTACTTCAGTTTGGTCCATTTCCAGCATTTGGAATCACTGGGAATGGACCAAAATCAAGCCTTGCAACTGTCAAAGCAGCCGAGGATCCTTCTGGTTTAAATTTCTAGTATCCTAAAGTGGCTCAGGATATCAGAACGTTTCCTTTGCTTTTCTGTGGAGGGGTCAGGAAGTGATATCATTGTTTGGCTTCCTCCTTTTGTTGCTCTAGCAAGAGTGTGCTGTTTGCCAGATGGCAGTTATAGAAACCCCTGCCTAGCTGTATATATAAAACAAGGCACAGAGTGGTTGAAAGACGGCTTCTTTCTCAGTCAGGTAGAAATAGGCACCCTGGGAAACACTTTCAGGGCATTTTGACAGGACAGCTTGATGAAGAATAAGGAAGGCAACGGTGGGAGCAATCGAAGAGAGAACACAGAGAGCCTCGCCAACCAGATATATATATATATTTTCAGCACATTCACACCACATACATACTTACCAAAGAGAGAAGAAATCTTTATTTGCATCATCCAAGTTCCAAAGAAAGTAATTGGTTCTAAAAGCCTTTGGTCTCAACAGACAAATTCTACCTGCTTGGACCCCTCCTTTTATATTCTTTTTGGGCAGGTTGCTAGCTGAGCATGCACACTATATGCTCCTTTGTTTTTCCATAGATATATACTCCTTATCAACTATTCTGAAGTACGGAGTGCTTTTAGATACGTGTGGAATCTGCTTGCTCCGGAGAAGGATCCTCGTACCAAGGTTTTCTTAATCCCTGAGTTTGCTCTACACTCCCTCAATTAGCATCAGATGGTTTTTGTCAACTTACTGAAAACATAGTTCAAAAAGTTCACAGTTCAAGAGTTGAATTTCTCACAATCAGGGCTTATAGCCAGAAATGAAAAGTCTCATAATTCCTCGGGTTATGTTGGTCTCCGTCTTTGTGTCTTAACTTCCTCTCTGGCTCTTCACCTTATTCCAGGCCAAACATGCACTCGCCTTAGAGCTGTTCCACAGTCTAGTAAGCCTGGAATTTCCCCCTACTCCAGAAGGGAGCAAAGTGTGTCCTTTTAGATGTTGCTGGAATGCAACTCTCTGGAGCCCCAGCTAGCCTAAGCAATGGAAGTGGGGAGAAGTGAAGCAATAATCTGGAGATTTTGACTTACAGTGACTCTATGCATGAATTATTTCCAAGACGTCCTGTAATTAACAGCCCTGCTCAGCTATTTGCAAAGCCAAGGCAGGGGCTTCCTTGAGTCAATCTATCTCACATTTGGTCTTTGTTTCTCTCCACAACTGCCTGTATTTTCCCCAACCCCGC